CGGCACGCGTAGGGGCGACGTCGGCCGCGCCAGCCACCTGCGCCTGATCCTGCCTCCAGTCTCCTTGATTCTTTCTTGACACTGGTATCAGATGGATGTGGGAAAAGTGAGTGCGAAAGATGCTGCGCAAGTATCTTATCACTTAAAACTGACTCACGCGCAACTCGCCTTCCTTGCACCACCATGTTGTGGAGCATACGACAGAGATCGTCGAGCTGTCACCGACAAGGACCAGGGATACCTATCGGCCCCATCATTCCCTAGCGTTTGAATTTCCGTCAAAATAAATATAATCTTTCAATATTTTGATGAAATCTATCGCTTAACCCTTCCCGATCACTTAAGTCTCCATCACTTGTGAGTAGGAGAAGAACGCTAATATATTAGATTCAGCGTTCAGTCCCACTTCCTGTTCTGGCATTTTGTTGATTCGTACATTCTTTTCCATATCCTTTATCGCTAACTTTATTCCTAAACACACGAGAAGCTTGGACTTATTCCCCTCCTCTTCCCACAGTTACGTTGCCTCGATCGAACAACAACAATGGCGGAAGAAAGGGCATCTGTTAACGTACTTTAACGACGTATCTAAGGCAGAAAGGAACATACGAGAATGTTCAAGGTCGACCTGGACTCGGACCAATCAGATAGCGTCCTTGGGTGGTGAGCATATCGACTAGACTTTTACCTCACCTGACTGGTTGGGTAGATCAGCTTCCGTATGGTCTAGCAGCAGCTTTCCTGTGCATATTCTTATTTTGATCTCTGTCCCGGTTAGAAAAAAATTTTAATACGGGATGAGTCGTGGAAAAATTGATTAATGCGTGGTTGCTTGCCGTTACGATTGGCGAAGCTTGTCCATATTTGCTACTTCAGCGCTCCGCAGATACTTAAAAGGAAATTTTGAAATTCGCACCCACATTTTGCATTCCTCCATATTACTCTGATCTAGAATCCCTCATCGTCGCATAGTGTGCCCGTATTGTTCCGTTTAATCTATTTACAGAATGAAATTGTTGACTTGAATGAACCTGCCTTTTCACCGGATTTGCAACGCAGCGGTGCCGACGGCTACGACTGGGGGAGACCGCTTCTGGCAGGGCGTCTCTCCGACCAGAACAGTATTCAAATGGCGCCATTTCCGTTGCTGACAGAAGCAGACAGGCAGTCCGCGCGGGGAGCTCTCTACGCCTGGTGGGTGTACCCCTCCGGTGGGGATGACTGCAGCGACACATCAG